GTAATTCTTTTGCACTACTATGTCCCTAGGCCAATTCCCTAGAATTGAAATTGTGAATCAAAAGTTGTATGAGCCTGGTGGGGTGGCATGCACCTGTAGTCCCAACTACTTGCGAGGCTAAGGCAGGAGAATCTCTTGAACCTGGGAGGCGGAGGTTGCAGAGAGATGAGATCATGCCACTGCAAGCCTGGGTCACAAAGCAAGACTGTCTCTAAAAAACAAAAAACAAAACAAAAAAAAAAAAAGGGCTGGGCACAGTGGCTCATGCCTGTAATCCCAGCACTTTGGGAAGCCAAGGCAGGTAAATTACAAGGTCAGGAGTTCCAGAGCAGTCTGACCAACATGTTGAAACCCTGTCTCTACTAAAAATACAAAACTTAGCTGGGCATGGTGGCACGTGATTATAATCCCAGCTACTCAGTAGGCTGAGGCAGGAGAATCGCTTGACCCCGGAGGTGGAGGTTGCAGTGAACTGATAATCATGCCACTGTACTCCAGCCTGGGCGATACAGTGAGACTCCATTAAAAAAAAAAAAAAAAAAAAAAAGTCAGTTGTAAATGACAGTTGATGGTGTCTAATGGTTTTACACAGAAGAGTCTTCCAAAATTGTATACATTTACCTATTTCAAAATGGTAAATACCTTTGCCAAACTAATCAAACTTTGAACTCTTCATCAATCTGATAAACATATTTTGTTTTGACTTTTTTTTTTTTTTAAAGAGTCTCACCCTGTTGCCCAGGCTGGAGTGCAGTGGCATGATCCCAGCTTACTGCAACCTCTGCCTCCCAGGTTCAAGTGATTCTCTTGCCTCAGCCTCCTGAGTAGCTGAGATTACAGGCATACACCACCACACCCGGCTAATTTTTGTATTTTTAACAGAGACAGGGTTTCACAATGTTGGCTGCTCTAGAACTCCTGACATTGTGATCCACCCACCTTGGCCTCCCAAAGTGCTGGGATTACAGGCGTGGGCCACTGTGTCGTGCCTTGACTTTTTTTTTTTTTTTTTTTTTAGGCAGTGTCTCTCCGTTGCCCAGGCTGGAGTGCAGTGGCGCGATCTTGGCTCACTGCAACCTCCACCTCCTAGGTTCAACTGATTCTTGTGCCTCAGCCTACAGAGTAGTTGGGGTTGGCGGGGAAGGGCACCACTGTACCCGGCTAATTTTTGCATTTTTTGGTAGAGACAGGTTTCATCATTTGACCAAGCTAGTCTCAAACTCCTGGCCTCAAGCAATCTACCCACCTCAGCCTCCCCAAAGTGCTGGGATTACAGGCGTGAGCCACCGTGCCTGCTCTTGACTGTATTCAGTTATAAATAAGGCTAAGTTTTTTTTTTTTCCCCATAAAATCAAGCTTCTGCAGGAAGGGCTAAATACTTTTCTCTTACTTATTGAACATTGTTTATTGTGAATTGCTTGTTTCAGGCATTTTCCTAAGGGAGTGTAAGGTCCTTTTTCTTTTCAGACAGTCTCGATCTGTTGCCAGGGTGGAGTGCAGTGGTGAGATCTCAGCTCACTGCAACCTCCGACTCCCTAATTCAAGCGATTCTCCTACCTCAGCCTTCCTGGCAGGGTGAAAGTCTTACTAGAATGTGAATCACATATGATGCAAGTACTTTCTCTCGGTTTGTCATTTAAGGATTTTTAAGTTTTGCCATAAAAAACCTTTTCATTTTTGTGTACTCAAATTTATCAGATTCTTCCTTGTAACTTCTGGGTTTTCTGTTATGTTTAAAGCCTTTTCCCACCTCAATGAATTATCACTATATGAGTAATACTATTAAAACAAACTCCTAGGCTTGCATTTTCTGCTTTGGATTTAAATTTGCTAACTCAGCATTATGCTACTCTGGGTTGAGTTTCATTTAGCATTTAACATCCCCTAAGACACAGCTTTTATGTTCTTCAATATTCTGTATATTGTCATATAATTTTATTTGGATCTCCAAAATGAGTTGCTTTATTTTCTGACCTGTTGAAATCTCAAATTAGTTTGATATCAAATGAAGGTACAGTTGAAGCACCGTTTTGTAGTTAGAGAGGAGTAAATACTTCTACCATCACACATAAAACTGGTAATGCTTTTTACTTAGAGATGGATTCCCATTTTTACACATTAATTTTAAAGAAAAAGGTGAGATTGAAAAGTTTTAAGACTTATACACAGCAGTACTTAGAAGTCTATAACTGTAAGAAACTAACAAGGCAGAACAATTAATTTCAACTATCCACTGGCATCTTTTACATACAAACCTCTGTCTTTCAGTAACATGTAATTTTTAAGTACCAAAACTCGTTTTTTTTTTTCATTCTTACCATCCTTACAAATGGGAAAAATTAGCATAATTACATGACACAATATCGTAAGATGATAGATTTGGAAAATATTTCGTATTTCTCAAAAGTCTGATGCAGAATTCTGGGATCAAAATTTTCAAATAAACAGCACCAATATTTTGCTGATGATTTCAAAAGACCAAAATATCTAACAAAATATGTATTAAATGAAGCATTAAAATAGTTTTATTGTCTTTAACACCCTATGAAACAGGTATCACTGTCCACATTTTAAAACATAAAAATAAAAAACCATAGCACTGAGCAGTCACCTTAAGTCATGTTCTTTAAATTGTCAAACATAAACTTCCACAATTTATTACAAAAGAAGCATGGTGAGCACAAGGAAAATACCAGATTACCTTGTTCAATGTTCTTAAACTACAAATTATTTAATTAGGGAAAATACTTCTTTTCTTTGAGGCTGCCTAGCCTGAAGCTTGAAGCTCAACAGAGTGCTGCAGTAAAGCACCAGGTCCCAAAGGGATTCTCAGAGAATCTGCAGTTATCATGCTGTAAGAATATTCAAAGCAATCACTACCCTATTTCTGGGATCAATATGCAGAATCCTCTCAAACAGAGCCCAAATTTTAACACAAATAATGGTGGTGTTATACGTTAGCACTGGCAAGAAGGAATGGCTGGAATTAGGTAGCCGGTGGGTAACTGAAGCAGCTTGTGCTGAAGAACATCGCGTTTGCTTTAGTTAAAATTAAGGTTTAAGATCTAGCATATGATCATTACTACAGAGTTCTGTATGTGGATTGCAGCTGTTAGGGAGGAAAAGTAAACCATACTTAATGTCAAAAGATTTTTAAGCCCAGGCTCTGGCAACCACATACCGGCTGCCTACCAAAAGCAAAACACTTAACCTCTATGACCCTGTTTCCTGGTTTGTAAAATGAGAATACCACCACCCACCTCTGAGGGATGTTTGAAGGTCAGGTTAGATAATACCAGTGAAAATGCTTTGCAAAAGTAAAGTACGAGACAAATGTAAAATATGGCTGTTTATTGCTAAGAACAAAATTCAGCCTTTATTGCCACTCCCCTTTTGTAGGAATAAAGCAACAGATGGCTTGTGATTCAGAAAGGCTTGGTAAGGACCTCACCATCAGTGTGCCCTCAGCAACACTACATAAGCACTACTAGCCTGCTTAAGACCGAGCACTAGAATTACCTCATTAACAAAATTTGTCAAGTTGCAATTACTTAAAAAATTCTTTTATGCATAAATGCATCTCACTCTGATGATGTCAGTGAAGATGGAGAGGAAGAAGGAAAGATACTTTTAACACTCCACCCATATGAAGCAAAGACAATGATTTTCAAAAGTCTCTTTTGCAAATGTCTCATCACTTTTTACAGTCATCTTCAATACCTTCTCGTTCATTAATGGAAAATTTTAGGACTCGATTTAAGCATCACCATTTTCATGACAATTTCTGGTAATGGTTTCAAGGTCTGACATTTGAAACCCTGTCTCCTTCGCTTGGATGTCATTTACCATAGACAATTCATGATCCTGTGGACCCTAGGGTGCAGCAGAAGGGACAACATAAAAGTACTCTGTATTTTGTAATAAGGGAAACTGAGGCCCACGCCTTGGCACAGGTCCAAGGTCACACACGACGAGATTGGGACAGTAGAGTTGTTTTTCGAAGACTGTCGCACAGGACGCGGTAAACCAGTACTCATTTCCCAGGACAAACAGCGGCCAAAGAGCCGCATGCTCACATAACCTTGCTTCCCTGCCTCACTCGGGTGCAACACTGAGTCCTCGCTAGGGGGACTGCTCCGCTGTCAACTCAGACAAGTTATCATTTCCTTCCCCCTCCCACCACGTAAAGACGACCCTTTGAGGGATGAAACCGGAGTTCCCAGTCCCAAATCGACCCATGGCCTCTGCGCGCCTGCCCGCTCCCCGGGGCACGTCTCGGCCCGCAGAGCCGTCCCGGGACGCAGGGTACCCTGTTCCCTTACCAAGGAGCCGGAGAAAGATCTGGAGCACGATGCAGAACCGGCTTTGGCTGGAATCGGGGTAGGAGTTGAAGATGGCGTCGATGATGTAAAGGCAGGGCACCCGGAGCGCCACTTCGAGCGCCGCCCAGACCTGCTGATGGGCCATCCGCACCTGCTGCTGCGGGGGCCCCACCGCCGCCATGAGCCGCTGCCACACCGGGGCTGGGCGGGCCGGGTAGAGCCGCGGGCCGCGGCCGGAGGCGGGAGCTAAGGCGGGCAACTCCGCCCCCGCCCTCCTTCCTCTCGTGTCTCTCTCACGGCCCGCCCCGCCGCCCGCTCGCGTCCCTCGAGCTGGAGCAGGCGGCGGAGGCGGCGGTGGCTGAAAAGGCGGCGGCGGCTCCCCAGGAGGTCTCTGGGTGTCGGTGTTTCCGGCTGGCTAAGGTCTGACTCCTCCTCCCTCCACTGCCTCCCCCGCCCGCGGAGCCACCATCTTGACCTCGCCCGCCGGCCTCTGCCGTTGCTGCTTTGGCGAGGCCCGGCGGCTGCGCCCGCGGTCACGCGAACCGCAGAATCCACGCCCACTGCCTGCGTCATAATCCAGCGCTAGGGACGCTTACCATGTCGTCATCACGCAGGGTTGCCATGGTTTCCGCCCACCTCCGCAGCTAGCGCTAGCGTCTCCCCGTGGCGCATGCGCTTTTCCATAGCCGCACTTTCCCGCCTCAGGGTCATGGCTTCACAAGGTAGTCGGTGATTCCGCAGAGCAAAATTATTAGTAGTTTTATTAGAGTCCATTAAACGTTGCATAAACATGGTTCAGAGCAGCTTGGGAGGAGAAAAGCCAAAGAATGCCGCCCCCTCGACCTGTTCCACCCGCCCGGAGGCCGAGTCTGAAAGCTGACGCCAGGAGAAATCCCGTGAAGGCCGCCCGGGATCCTGGTAGAGGCGGCGCTGTGCGCGTTTATGGAGCGCTTGCTGTGCGTGGCCCTGGGCTGGGTGTGGTGGGCGCTGCGGAGGAAAACGTTCCTCCCACGCCTTTGCACATCGCCCTTATCACCTCCTGCCCAGATGGACAGAAGTGAGGACATTCATCGGCCGCGTTTTACCAATGGCAAGGAGTTAGTGACTGAAGGGCAGGAATCCGGGGTTTGCTGTCTTCGGTTTCTCATCTCTGGGGTAAGTACACCCGGACAGTTCCTTCCTTCCTGCTCAGGGCTCATGCTTTCTTGCCTGTCCATGTAACTAATATGATCTGGCTATCTTTATGTTTGTTCGGAAACTTCAGCAGCAAATGATAGTGTAAGTTAGGTCTGAGGCTGCACTATAGACCTAGCTATCCTAGCTTAAGGGGGATAAAATAGAAAGCAAGAAGCCTGGCCCACGTGGGCTCCCAGCTCAAGTGCATTCTGCAATCCAGTTTATATCGGGCCTCCGCGTGGGTAGTTATCCTTTATCAAGATCCCCGCCTAAGGGGAGGAGGATTGTTAGTCACATTATCAAACTCTCCTCCAACCCCTTTCTCTGCTTAGAGGTATGTGTAATGTGTAATAGAAAGATCGAACCCCACCCCAAAATCCTGACTGCTACTCTTGTTTTTAACCTTCTGTTCTTATCCTCTACCCTACTCCCTAATAATGACCGCCTACTGCTTAATGGATACTAGGCACTGTGCTAAGGGTTTTATATTTTATTTCAATCCTTTCATCGGCTTTATTTTGATAGTTTTACAGAGGTGGAGACTTAGATAAGTTACAAGATGACAAGGTGACTACCTTGTTGAGTTGGTAGTCAGCAATTAGTATATCCAAAGATAAGTCAAAACTAAGTTAAACCCAGGGCTACCTGAAGCTCACAGCTTCAGGCATCTTTGATTTATTCCTTTCACTCACAGCCAGTTTTGCAACTAAATTGTATCCATTCCGTCTTCACCATCTCTTGTACTGGTCTCGTTTCTGTTGTCACTGTCATTGTCCTAACTCAAGATCCTTCTGTGGCTTTGCGCATTTATTGCATAACCTCATTACGATTGCCACTGTTTCTAATCCAGTCCGTTTACTGCCAGGTTAATTTCCCCAAACTGCATGTCTGGGGAATAACCTTGTGGTTATGACGAAATTCCCGAAGGAAAGGCAAGGTGCAAAGACTATGAAGACTTAGAACTTCAGACATCTATGGAGATCTTCAGAGATATAAATTAGCTACTCAACCTATCTATTCTGCCCTGATTACACTGTAAAGCAAAAGGAGAGAGACCCTTATGGGGAAAAAGATCCAGAAGGACTCATCTAAACCACAAGTTGCGTAGAGGAGATAGGTAAGTTCTATTATATTATGTTCATGGAAAGTAAGATGATAGGCTTTCCTCTGATTTTTATTTTAAAATAAATGTAAATATGAAATAAAATTATGTGTAATGAACAAATGTTTCAGTCTTTATTAATGTTTTAACTGCCTCTGATCTTAATTTGATGTACAAATTGTATTGGTATAAGAGTTTCGGAGACTAACTTCCGTCTTGGGCCAAGAACTTTCAGGAGTGATGGCAGAGTCTTTCTTATCTTTTTCACACAGCTTCTCCAGCAGGCTCTCTGCCAAGCTTTTCCAATCCACCTTATTTTGTTATTGTTGTGTTCTGTTTTGTTTTAGGTTTTTAACAGGCTGAAGCCATGGTTTTTAGTTTCTGTCTCTAGTGATAAGCGGAAAAGAGGATGAGGAAGGGTATTTACTGGCCCAACCAGAAACGGAAACTAAGAACCCATAACTGTATTCTCTCCCTTGGACTGCCCTGTGTGAGCTTTCTTTCTCTGTCTATAAAATGAAGGTTTGAATAAGATCTTGGCAAGTGTGTTAAAATGCTATGTTAAAACTAAATTTATAGTAATGAGGTAATTTTTAAGATGCTTAGAAATTTTTAAGATAAAAGATGTTCCCAGCTGGGTGTGGTGGCTCATGCCTGAAATCTCAGCACTTTGGGAGGCGGAGGAGGGTGGGTCGCTTGAGCCCAGAAGTTCAAGTTTGTAGTAATGTCATAGCAGCGATAGGAAATTAATATAACCACATACTGTCACTCCCAGGGAGCCATGTGGGGAGTTTGTGCTTCTCATCCCCACAACTTTGTGAGTCTAGAAGTCCTGATTCCCAAGAGAGGAACTTTTTCATCAAGAGACAGAATAATTCTTTAAACTTCAAGATGGAAGATTCAATATTGTGAAGATGTTGACCAATAGATTCTATGTAATCTCAATTAAAAAGAAAAAAATCTCAGTAGGTTCTTTTTTCAAAAAAACAAAAAAACCTGATTTTAAAATTCCTAAGAAACTGGAAAATGTCAAGAATAGCTAAGGCAGTCTTAAAAAACAAAGTTGAAGGATTTATACTGTGAGACATCAGCACCTATTCCAAGCTATAGTAAAGAAGAAAAGATAGTATTGGTGCATGGATAGAAAAACTGACCCATGGAACAGAACAGAAAGTCTAGAAAAACTCCACACATATAGAATCACTTCATTCATTAGAAAAGTGACCCTACAGTGCAGTGGGAAATGGATGACAGAAAGCCAACAGTATAACAGGACTCTGGATACTGCATATTGCTTAATAGTGAAACATGCTAGAAGCATTCTCCCTAAAGTTAGGAGCCAGGCAAGGTTGCTCACTGTTGCCACTGTTATTTAACATTGTGTTAGAGGTGGGGAGTGGGAATAAGGCAAGTTAAAATGCTTCCCTGTTTACCAAGATTTAGCTGTTTTTCTAAAGTAAAGGCACTTCAGATTGTAAGCTTTTAGTTAAATTCTAGAGTTCTGAAAAAGTTGACTTTGACCATTTTTGCCCATGTTTTTGTAGAGGAGCCAGTTTTCTCATTGCTTTTGTAGAGGAGCCAGTATTTGGAGATCTTTACCCTGCTGTTTTGGAAGTTGTCCATTTTAATTGATACTGGGAAGTTTCAAGATACCACTGTACCTTGAGTGTAAAATACAGGTATATTCCTTCCTACCATCATCGTGTAGCAATAACGCTACTTCCTCCTGATGAATGAATTCAATTACCCCAACCAACACGGTGACTCTTCCTTACCTGCTGGTCTTCTGGCACAGGGACCCTGAAGTGACTGGGAAACCTCAGCAAGTTAAAACTTGAAGGATCTGTTATTGTGTCTCTTGATGAAAAAGTTCCTCTCTTGGGAATCAGGACTTCTAGACTCACAAATTCCCCAGATGGCTCACTGGGAGTGAGAGTATGTGGTTATATTAATTTCCTGCCATTCCCATGACATTACTACAAACCTAGTGGTTTCAGACAACACAAATTTATTTTCTTATAGTTCTGGAAGCCTAAAATTAAGGTGTCAACAGGACTGTTTTTCCTGAAGTCTTCAACAAAAAGTCTGTTTCCTTGCCTTTTTCAATTTCTAGAGGCTGCCTACATTTCCATGGCTCATGGCCCCTTCCTCACATCCCTCCATCCTCCTGCTTAAGTCATCACATCTACTAAGCAAACCTGCCTCTCCCTTGCAAGAGTCTTCATGATTATATTGGACCTACTGGATAGTCAAGATAATCTCTGTATCTTGAGATCCTTTTACCATGAAGGTAACATATTCATAGAATCCAGTTATTAGGATATGGTCATATTTGGGGGCCATTATTCAGCCTACTATGCAGTGGGAATTCTATTTATGTCCTTTCATTCCCTTTTGCTATTCACTCAGGGTGGTTGGCAAAATATTACAGAAAATATTTAGGGAAAGTTAAGAGATTATAGTCTCAAACCTTTTAGAAGGCCAAAGGGTTTTATTGAGGCAGATTGAAGGCAGCCATCTCTTTCCTGTGCTACTCATAGGAAAATGAGTCCCTACTCTGTTTACTCATGTTAATTTTGTGCTAGGTGGAGGATCAAAGAATTACCTAGTAATAGTATTTACTCTGGGCCCTAGAACCAAAAGCTTTTAACTTTTGGTTGAGTGGTAAAACTACTATTTTAACCATGTTAATTACCCACAAATGTGTTAACTTAGAACCTCAGTTGTAAAATCTTTTTTTTTTTTTTGAGATGGAGTTTTGTTACTGTTTCCCAGGCTGGAGTGCAATGGTGCCATCCCAGCTCACCGCAACCTCCACCTCCTGGGTTCAGGCAATTCTCCTGCCTCAGCCTCCTGAGTAACTGGAATTACAAGCATGTGCCACCATGCCCAGCTAATTTTGTATTTTTAGTAAAGATGGGGTTTCACCATATTGGTCAGGCTGGTCTCGAACTCCTGACCTCAGGTGATCCACCTGCCTCAGCCTCCCAAAGTGCTGGGATTACAGGTGTGAGCTGCCATGCCCAGCCCTGTTGTAAAATCTTGAGGGAATAAATGTGTGGACAGACAGAGGGTCTGAGTCGATTGGTTGCATTTTGCCCTCTGAAAGCAGCCAACAGCCATCCCTAGCCCACTTGAAACACTGTAATGGTGTGAGTGCATTCATTCATCTGTCATTGAGTCAGGGTCTGCAAGTCAGACTTCTGCAAGTGGTGACTCACGTCTCAATTCCCAAACATGCATGTTATATGTATATGAGACACAGTACCATACAGTGAGTGTTGATTTAGTATATATGCTGTACCCTGGTGAACAAGGCCATTCCATCTTCACAGGCTATTATCTTCAAGCTTTTCCTTCAGTTTCACCTTCTAAAGGGTTTCCATCATTCCATCAAGCCTGTATTTTCTAGGTTATAGAGTATTTGATAGGACCAGTGGATCCCATGGTTATGTGCCTGCTGATATCAGGCACATACCTCCTTTGCTGTAAAGTGGGTCCCTAAATCAAAGGCAATATTAGGATACATGTTGATGGATCAAAAACCTGTAAACCTTCGAATAGTAGAGCTGGCCAACAACTTATAGGCAAGGAGGTCAAACTCATACATGGAGTTGGGCAGTTTCTAGTAAAGGAGAATCACTGCCCATTCTAGGATGGAAGGAATCCAGCATAAATCAGCTTCCTGCCAATTAGCTGCTTGGTATCCTTGAGGGTTAGTGCCATATCAGGAACTTAGTGTTTAACATTGGGGAGTGACTATTTGATAAGTGGAAGCTATCTGTTTGCCTCTTGCTCACTTGCATTCCTGCAAGATGACTACTTCATCATGAGCTCCCCTATGCCATTCCTAGGGGTGGGGAGAGGGGACTGTGGAGCTGATGGCTGCAGCTGCTGAAGTTAACTGATGATTCTACTTGGTTGTTTAATGCTGCTTACATGTTGGATTGTCTCTGGCAGATAAAGATTATGTTATGTAATACAAAACCCTCTACTTACGTGCCATATCTCATATATTTCTCCACTGCTTCTCCAGACTTCTTGTCCCTGATATGCCAGTCTTTCTCATTCCAGACCCCTGATTAACTAGCCAACTTATTTGCCATTTGCCATGAAAATATGTTATTACTTCAAGCCACTTTTTTTCCACATAAAGTTGATGACCAGGAATACTGGCCCACATTATGCCTTTTGGAAGGGTTCTCCTCACTGCTGTCTCTTTTTTTTTTTTTTGAGACAGAGTTTCGCTCTTATTACCCAGGCTGGAGTACAATGGCACTATCTTGGCTCACTGCAACCTCCGCCTCCTGGGTTCAGGCAATTCTCCTGCCTCAGCCTCCTGAGTAGCTGGGATTACAGGCACATGCCACCATGCCCAGCTAATTTTTTGTATTTTTAGTAGAGACGGGTTTCACCATGTTGACCAGGATGGTCTCGATCTCTTGACCTCGTGATCCACCCGCCTCAGCCTCCCAAAGTGCTGGGATTACAGGCTTGAGCCACCGCGCCCAGGCCTCACTGCTGTCTTTTAAGGCCAGTCCTGTGTGGGGCTGTAGGGCAGTAGCAGTCCATTTTTGTTTTGAACCTATATTCCAAGAAAACTCAGTGAATTCATGAATTCAGCATAGGCTTTTGTCCTCCATAAGTTAGACAGGAGAGCCTCCCAAGTGGCCCTAAGTGTGAGCTGAGGAAGGGACATTGGTAAAGAATAGATACAGTGTGGGAGCCTGACCACCTGCTTGTGCTCAGCTCATGATGGGCATCTCCAGCTGCATGGTCACTTGATGTCCATGATCAGTTCTTAGCAAGGCACATTAGCATGCATGGATAGTTGCTTTTTGGGTTTTGCACTGCAGATGGCCTGGTCTTGCCACAGAATCCCAGGAGTCGACCTTGTGATTCTCCCATTGGGGCTTGCCGTCAGCTTTCATGGCTTCTTATCACATATACTCTTGTACCATAGAATATCCTGAATTGGTCCATGCAACAGGGCTAAATGCACTGTACCTGCTAGAGAACTTTTACCTGCTGTGGATCCCACTGAAAATTGGCAGACTTCTATCTCACCCAGTTTATGAGTCAGAACAGTATTGCCAAGTTCTGAATTCCCACA